ATGACACTGGAGAAGACTGACCTTCCCTGAATAGTGGGATGAAATGCCAGTATTGCTGCCAGATGCACTTTCAATGAACTCAATGCTAGCCCCAATGACTGAAGGTGCAGCGGGTACTCCAAAAGGCCAGTGTTGGTTGGATTCCATGTGCTAATGACCACACCAAAAATAACTTCCATTTAGCTGAATAGGCCATCCTGGTGGAGGTTTTTTTTACTGTTAAGGAAGACTTGTAGGTCAGCAGCCGAACACAGGTCTTCCTTCTCATTCAGCAATGCCGTGTGACATAAACATACAGCTAAGGGTAGTGTAAAATCCCTCCTTTACCTGTAAAGGGTTAAGAAGCTCAAATAACCTGGTTGGCACCTGACCAAAAGGACCAATAAGGGAAGAAGATACTTTCAAATCTGTGGGGGAAGGTTTTTGTTTGTGCTTTCCTTTTATTCTTTCCGGGACAGAGAGGGAACAGGACAGGAAAAATACATTTCCTAAGGCCATATCTGAAATAAACATCTAAGATTACAAATTGTAAGTAATAGCAAGGAAATACATTTGGTTATCTTTTGTTTTAGCTTGTGAATTTTCCCTATGCTAAGAGGGAGGTTTATTCCTGTTTTTTTGTAACTTTAAAGTTTTGCCTAGAGGGGAATCCTCTGTAATTTAAATCTTATTACCCTGTAAAATTACCTTCCATCCTAGTTTTACAAAGGTGCTTCTTTTACTTTTTTCTTTATAATAAAGTTCTGTTTTTAAGAACCTGATTGGGTTTTTAGTGTCCTAAAAACCCAAGAGTCAGGTCTGTGCTCACCTTGGTTTCTCTCAAGCCTCCCCAGGAAAGGGGGTGAAGGAGCTTGGGGGGATATTTTGGGGAAACAGGAACTCCAAGTGGTCCTTTTCCTAAATCTTTGTCTAACTCACCTGGTGGTGGCAGCGATACTGTCCAAGGACAAGGAAAAATTTGTGCCTTGGGGAAGTTTTTAACCTAAGCTGGTAGAAATAAGCTTAGGGGGTCTTTCATGCGGGTCCCCACATTGGTACCCAAGAGTTCAGAGTGGGGAGGGAACCCTGACATCATGTGATGCAGGGAACTGAGTGCTGGATGGAAGGTGAGGCTTTGTTTCTGAGTGAATAAGTTCAGGATGGAGAGGGAGCAGTATGGGAGGTTGAAGAGAAATCAAGAAGGATGGAGAACAAGCAATGTATTAGCCACACTGGGGCACTGAGAATGACCTTGGCCCAATCTTCCTAGAGTTTGAGAATGATTTGAGGGATGATCGGGATTTGGGGTAGGCATACAGGAGTGCCGACTGCCAGAAGAACATCTACTCAAAGAAGAATCTTTATTAGCCTTTCATTCAACATACTGATGTCAGCAATGATCAGAGTCTAGTGCAGTGGTTTCCAGCCTGTGGTCTGCAGACACCTGGGGGTCTGCAGACTATGTCTAAGATTTCTAAAGGGATCCACATCTCCATTCTAAAATTTGTAGGGGTCTGCAAATGAAAATAATCTTGAAAACCACTAATCTACTGTATTTCAAAATCCGGAGCATACTGTTCACTAAGTCATCTTTTTATTAGCAGCTCTAACAGCAAGCAGCAACAATGAAATTACATGACTAAAAATATTTTTCTTTAAGTGTTCAGAGCATTTTTTATGTTTAAAAACATTGTTTGGCCCAAGCAGCAGTTGTGTTTAATTTTTGCTAAGAGCTGGTGGCAACTCAAAGGGAATGTTGTATGGTTGTTCCCAACTACTGTACATAATGATGATAATAATTAATAACTTTACTACCTTATTTTTATATATCACCTTTCATCCTGAAAGTCTGCAAAGCACTTTACAGACCATATGTAGAATTCATTCATCCCTGAAATGCAGTGACCTCTGGAATGAAATGTGGCAACTGTTTAACAAAGCACAGTAACACTAAAAAACAGTTTTTAGGTGACTAAGAAAAGAATAATAATGTCTCCAGCTCTATAACTTCATCGGTGTGTTACATGAGCACTTAAATACATAAAAATACAAGTTGATGTTCTACTGTTTCACTTCTCTCTTTACTTCAAAGGTCAGGATGTATTCTGCTCATCATTTAATTATAGAAAAGTTATGGCACAGAGATTGGAGAAGTAATCTGTTCAGATGGTGGTAAAATTTGTGGCCGTTCTCAACTGCTTTAGTAGTGAATGCCACAGGAACCATTTCAGACAAAGTTTTTCTCTAGCTTGCACTGATTTCTCCTTTGTTGTTCAGAGTTTCATCTTCCCACAGGAATGCAGCTGTCTTGAAAGTTCTTGCTTGCAGAGGGAGAGGGGTTTCTGAGGCAGCCTGGGCCCAGATCATTGAAAATCAAGACAAGACTCTTGAACTTGACTTGTTTGATGGGCACTCAGTGAAGAGAATTAAGAAGCTAGTATTAAGCAAAACTAGTTTTATGTGCTCTTATTGGCCTAAGTTGCTCAGCAGGAGGACTGCTGCTTTTTGGACCAACAATTTTCTTCACAGTCTCTGATTACACTCCCAAATACAGTGCATTGTGTTGTAAAGTTCGAAGGTCAAGAAGTCATAGATGACCATGGCCAAGTCTCATCTGTCTGAATGGGGCAAAGTCTCCTGGATAGCCATAGGATGGGGAAAGGTGCTATCTGAGTTGTTGCAATTATAAGGGTACTATACATAAGGCAATCTTTGGTAGTCAAAACTGTGGCATAGGGCCATTAGGTGGATCCTACGAGTATGTAACAGGAAGTAGAGTGAGAGAAACATTGAGACAGACTAAGGACCTGTCTACACATTGTGGCGATGTTTATTATCGGGACATGACTTCTAAAACGTTGCACTTTAATTGATCCTTGTAGACCTGCTGGTGCACTTGAAAGTTTCCCTACTGCGCTTCAATGTACAGCTGCTAAAGCGCCATCGGGAACCTTTAGTATGCACCAGCAGTGACTACAAAGACTAATTAATGCACAACATATAAAAACATAAGAAAGACCATACTGGGTCAGACCAAAGGTCCATCTAGTCCCGTATCCTGTCTTCCGACAGTGGCCAATGCCAGGTGGCCCAGAGGAAATGAACAGAACAGGTAATCATCAAGTGATCCATCCCCTGTCGCCCATTTCCACCTTCTGGCAAACAAAGACTAGGGACACCATCCCGACCCATCCTGGCTAATAGCCATTGATAGACCTATCCTCCATGAATTTACCTACTTCTTTTTTGAACCCTGTTATAGTCTTGGCCTTCACAACATCTTCTGGAAAGGAGTTCCACAGGTTGACTGTGTGCTGTGTGAAAAAATACTTTCTTTTGTTTGTTTTAAACCTGCTGCCTATTAATTTCATTTGGCGGCCCCTAGTTCTTGTGTTAGGAGAAGGAGTAAATAACACTTCCTTATTTACTTTCTCTAAAGTGCACTTTAGAAATCACATCCCCATAGTGAGCAGTACCTTACCATGTAGACAAGCCCAAAGTTTAGGGACTTTCTGAATCAGATAATGAATCTGATTTAAAAACATTACTCTGTTCATGTAATCGTTAAATAAAAACATTTCAATGAAACCTAAAGTCTCCCTGCTTCCTCAAAAATATTACAAAAAAAAAATACTGCTAGAGCTAAGTAGAGAAAGGTAATTCTGTTTTGTGGAGGTTTTTTTATTCTGAAATTTGGTTTCATTACAATTTGGAAGCCCTGACGTCCCCAACTCCCAGGCAGTTCACTCTGGAGCCAGTGACCTGGAAAGCCTTGAGGTCCCTGATTACAGGGCAGTCTGGCAAGCAGTCAACCAAGAAGCCAGGCAGACAAGCTGGCAGGAAACCAGGCAGGGTTCTGTTGCAACTTAGTCAAAACTGAAGTCTCCATGGAATGTTTCAATTTTGACAAATAGGCAAATTCTGACAAAAACAGTTGTTCTGCAGAATTTTGCCAACCATCTCCAATAATTATCCATATTGGGAAATGCGGATTAATCCTGGTATCCTGGCCAACTGCTTGCACTTCTGTGGAATCCCTTAGGGACAAAAATGACCAGGACCTCATTTTTCAAACTTACCTAAAATGGCAGCACATGCCGTAGCAAAGTACTCCCTAGCACCATGCTGGAGCATTGGTTGAAAGAAAGAGGAAAGGTGCCTCCTATACTGAATCATCCCCATATTTTGGACTGCTAATGCTAAGTCTAATTCTACGCCAAGAGCTAGAGGTGTGATTCCCCAGCTCGTGTACACCTATTCACATCTGCTCTCATAGAGCACGTAAATAGCAGTATAGCTGTGGTAGCATGGGTAGCAGCTGAGTCGTGCTGTGTACATACCCACCAGTTTCAGGCATGTTTGTACACAGCTTGGCTCAGCCAGGCCTCCATTGCCACCACCCGTTCTACTGCAGCTACACTGCCATTTATACTTGTGCTAGTTTGGTGACAGCTAGCGTGAGTATGTGCACACATGCCGGGGAATCACACTCCAAGATCATAGATGTAGTCATGGATAAATAACACAGGATAAACGGAGGACAAGTTTTTAATACTTCAGTACAGGTCCAATATTAAAAACTGCAATAGAAGTTGGCATCAGCTACTGTACACATTACATTCGGTAGACATTTTTATTGCCCTATCTTTCAATTACTTTAAAAATAAAAGAAAAGGAGTACTAGTGGCACCTTAGAGACTAACCAATTTATTTGAGCATAAGCTTTTGTGAGCTACAGCTCACTTCATTGGATGGAAATAATGCTCAAATAAATTGGTTAGTCTCTAAGGTGCCACTAGTGCTCCTTTTCTTTTTGCGAATACAGACTAACACGGCTACTACTCTGAAACCTTTAAAAATAAACAAACACTAAATGTGTCATCTAGAGGTATGAAGAAAAAACATACACATAGGGAATATTTTTATGTACAGCATATTTGGTGGGGAGGAAAAGATAATCACAAAGGTGTTTAGTGTATAAACTGAACATTAAGATGAGCAAAATGAAATTGTTCGTGTACCTGGGAATAGCCGATTACATCTCCATTTTCATCCAGTACATTAAAATTAATTATTGGACCCTGGACATCAGGACTGCTGAAGTCTGAATCACTGTAGATACGCACAATGGGTGCTCCATTAGCATATTTTAAGGTAGACAGCACTGTGTAGGTGTAGCGAGATAAAGCAAAGGTATGATGTTTTATGTTCTCCATGCCACCTAAGAGGAAAACAACATATCTGTCAAACACTTTATTCTCTTGAAACTTTTTGTTTAAAAAGATAGCACAGCTAGAAGCCAACCCGTACAAAGCCTGGAAAGCCGAAATTAGCTCTTTTAAATCATCATACTTCTCAAAATTTTCTTTTCTTACAATGAGCTTTAGTGGTGCTATAATGTCACAAGAGCCACCTACCTCTGAGTTAATCCACGTCACTTTTCAGCTGGGAAAATTTGAGTTTAAATTTGAATGGGTTCACACAATGAATAATTGTGTTGGTTCCAGTCTGTACACATCACAGAATCATTCTGGCCTACATTTGTTAGAATGGCAGTTTTTGCTCAGGAGTGCCAAGGACTGGAAAAGTAATGCTGCAGATCAGGAAACTACATCAGTACTAACATAGGATGGAAGATTAGTTGTAGTGCATAGTCCTATATGAGGCTACAAAACAAAGGTTTTCATTTGTGATCCCATGACAGATATTTAATATTATACAGAAGGGATACTCTTCTCAGTCTACACTTCTGCAGAACAGGAAAGACAAAGGATGGCCCATATTCTGCATCAGCTCACGCTCATGAAAACCATTTGTTTCAGTGGGGTTATACAGGGAGTAAGTCAGCACAGAATTTGGCCTGGACAGTAAATAGGAGTATGCTTTCTTTCCCTTCTTCTTTGCTACACCTAACAATTCGAAAGTGCAGACCTGCAACCGAGTACCAGGATATCTGGAAGTTGCAACATTAAGCTCTGAACTCCTCTGAGCAGCAGTTGTGTCATCTGTTTTTTCTCGTGTGTATTTTTAATACAGAAAAGAGCTGTCAACATCTCTGAGGGTATGTCTATACTACCTGCCATACTAGGGGGCAGCGATTGATCCAGCGGGGGTCGATTTATCGCGTCTAGTCTAGATGCGATAAATCTATCCCCGAGCGCTCTCCCATCGACTCCTGTACTCCACCGCCACGAGAGGCGCAGGCAGAGTCAATGGGGGAGTGGCAGCAGTCGACTCACCGTAGTGAATATACCGCGGTGAGTAGGTCTAAGTATGTCGACTTCAGCTACGTTAGTCACATAGCTGAAGTTGTATAACTTAGATTGATCCCCCCACCTAGTGTAGACCAGGGCTGAGTCTAATCAAAATAACAATAATATGCTTTTACTGGCTGAAACAGAAAAATTACATTATTTTTATAGTATTTATTTCCAGTTTCAAAATGGCATGCTGTCCTTTTTAGCTATGTTAGTTGGGAAAATGAAGTGAGTGTAGTCATAGAAATGGTGGACATATGGTGAAGAACCTCTATGTTCTGCATAGTGAGGAGAAACAAGATACAGGATGAACACCAGAAAGCCCTTCAAGGAGTCTTGTGAGAAGCTATTTAGCATGATTTGCTGATGTTTGTCACGGTAAACTTGGCAAATTTCTCTCTTAACACTTAGTTCCCAAAGGACTTTCATAGTATCACACACTTTGAGAAGAAAAGGGCTGCCTAGCCTAAGATGTCCTGCACATTTTCTGCTAGAAGGTGGTAGTGTTGTTGAGAAAGCTTATTTCTGTGATACTGCCAGTGCTATTATTAGATCTGACTGCACTGTCAGTTTCTGAGATGTCTTTAATCGCCAGATGCAGAGCTTTTCCAAATTGGCAGGAACTTTCTGATGGAATATTAAGATACTTTCTTTGTGACTTGTTGAAGAAATCTCTCAGTCTATTTTTCAGAGCACATATCCTGCCGTCGTTACAGCATTAGCCTTTAGCCATTCTTGATTTAAAGTTCCTTAATCACATTTCTTTGTGCATTGGTGAGAAACCGATAAGTCTCTTAATTATTTATCCTCACACAAATGCAACAGCCTGCATGTGTCCCTTCCCTACTCCTGCCCCCTGCCGAGGAGGTAGATGGCAAGTAATGTAGCCAAGTGCCTGTATTTTCACATAGCAGAATGAGTCACAATTAGGGCTGATGGATTGTCAAAGAAAATTCTTCAAAACAATTGCCAATGGGTCATGGTTGATACTGACCAAAAAAAAAAAAAAAATCACAAATATATGACTCAGTCATGATTTTTTTTTTTTTTTAGAGAATGATCTGTGCTGCCCCCTACATAATTTTTGCGATTCCCCAACCTCTTTTCTGCTTGCTGTGACCCAGGGAGTGGAAGGAGGGGGAAGAAGAATTGCAACAGATCTTCAGCCTCCCACTGGGGGCTATGTGCTTGAATCAATGCATGTCTAGCACACGGTCATACATGGTGGTAGAAGGGAATAAAATCAAGGGGGTGACGCTATTTGAGATAAATAAGGTTTGGTTACCATATGTTACAACTGATTACCTGGTATTTGTTAGTGTATTTGTTAGTGTATTCTGCATTTTGTCCCCTGCATATAAATTTCTGTGACTGTTCTTATGTCAGGTTCCTTGACACTGAACATCTGGATTTATTTTTTTATTAAGTGCCTATTTGGTGTCAGGTGCAGTGACAGATTTTAAGTCTTTTGAAGAGGATATATTTGGGGATTGGCCTGTGATCTTCAGCTCATTGCAAGTGGGGTCTAAGACTCACTCAGTCTCTATAATTTTAGTGAATTTTAGCTGTTTTATTAAGAGACTGCAGTTATTTATTAATCTAAATGATTTTTAAATGGTGAGCAGCATACATGTTATATACTATTATTTTAGAGATGGACACCTATCTAGGGCAGACCAGGTAACACTTACTGATGGAGTTTGATTACTACTGTTGACCAAAACAAGGAGTGCAGGCACATATCTATTGTAAAGGTTATGCATTGATGTGTAATTTGCGTTCACTATTGTATACCTCTGCTTAAGGCACAAATGCATAATGTAGACTTCCTTGTCTGGTCTAAATTTATATATTTCCACTAATACTTTTCTTATTGCTTTATCTCTTGCATGTATATTATATGTGTGTGTGTGTGTGTGTGTTTGTTTTATTAACTTAACGTCATTTCAGGCTTCAGCATTTCACATTTTCTGTTTCTAGTGACACAGCATTTTTTACACTATCTGTTGGCACAGTGAATAGCATAACAAGTATTTGCAATGGTTTTTGAACATCAGAGATTGCCGAAAGCAACTCATTACTTTCCCGCACTGACCCCCTTCCAGCAATATGCCATTTACCCTGTGGTGTTGGTGTTAGGTACTGTGCAATCCTTGCTGGCTGTAACATTTCTTTGTTTGTGCCCTGAGGCATCATGACAGTGTCAGCACAGGCATCCACACTGCTGCTTTACCCATGAGCTGTTCATACTGATTACAGAAACTGATGGGGTGATGGTGCTGAAATGTCACTGGGTCCGAGGTGTTCCTTTACTTCATGGCTACTATGGTGCTGCTGCCATCACTCATTGGCTAGCTCATAATGGTATACTGCTCACCAGAGCAGCAGTTGTCTGTGGAGGCATATTGCAGGTACAAGTTCATATCCTGCCTTTTTGAAGTAGACTATATTTCTTCGGTCTGGATTTGTTCTCTTATGGCCTGATCCAAACCCCACTGAAGTCAGTGAAAGTCTTTTCACGGACTTTGATGGGCTTTGCCTCAGCTCCTCTCATTTGTAATTTTCTTGCCCCTCTGCTGTTGTGCAAAAAAGAAAAGCGTTTCCTTTCTACTGTCTACGATTATTCTCGAATGAAAAACAAATACTTCTTTTAAATTTGCTTGGCTGCTGAGTAGCTTTCTAGGTTATATCAAATCTATTTGACGCTGCCTGGAAATAAATCCAATAAACATTATACTTTATTCAGTGATGTACACAAACACAATGTGGGATTTCACTCTATTCTGCTTCCTTTTCAGTGCTCCATATAGATTAACCTAAAATGAATTCCCAGTCCCTAGAGTATGATGATAAACAAATAACATAGAAAAGGAGTACTTGTGACACCTTAGAGACTAACCAATTTATTTGAGCATGAGCTTTCATGAGCTACAGCTCACTTCATCGGATGCATACCGTGGAAACTGCAGCAGACTTTATATACACACAGAGAATATGAAACAATACCTCCTCCCACCCCACTGTCCTGCTGGTAATAGCTTATCTAAAGTGATCATCAGGTTGGGCCATTTCCAGCACAAATCCAGGTTTTCTCACCCTCCACCCCCCCACACAAATTCACTCTCCTGCTGGTGATAGCCCATCCAAAGTGACAACTCTTTACACAATGTGCATGATAATCAAGTTGGGCCATTTCCTGCACAAATCCAGGTTCTCTCACCCCCTCACCTCCCTCCCAAAAACCACACACACAAACTCACTATCCTGCTGGTAATAGCTCATCCAAAGTGACCACTCTCCCTACAATGTGCATGATAATCAAGGTGGGCCATTTCCAGCACAAATCCAGGTTTTCTCACACACCCCCCACCCCCATACACACACAAACTCACTCTCCTGCTGGTAATAGCTCATCCAAACTGACCACTCTCCAAGTTTAAATCCAAGTTAAACCAGAACATCTGGGGGGGGGGGGGGTAGGAAAAAACAAGGGGAAATAGGCTACCTTGCATAATGACTTAGCCACTCCCAGTCTCTATTTAAGCCTAAATTAATAGTATCCAATTTGCAAATGAATTCCAATTCAGCAGTTTCTCGCTGGAGTCTGGATTTGAAGTTTTTTTGTTTTAAGATAGCGACCTTCATGTCTGTGATTGCGTGACCAGAGAGATTGAAGTGTTTTCCGACTGGTTTATGAATGTTATAATTCTTGACAGCTGATTTGTGTCCATTTATTCTTTTACGTAGAGACTGTCCAGTTTGACCAATGTACATGGCAGAGGGGCATTGCTGGCACATGATGGCATATATCACATTGGTGGATGTGCAGGTGAACGAGCCTCTGATAGTGTGGCTGATGTTATTAGGCCCTGTGATGGGCCACACTATCAGAGGCTCGTTCACCTGCACATGGATGAGCATGTGCAGGTGAGCTATTACCAGCTGGATAGTGAGTTTGTGTGTG